GTAATTTCTGGCCAGGATCACCACTGTGGTACAGTGGTCATAATCTAGAATGGGGAATAGTTTTTACATTAGCAAAGAAGAGGCCATCTTGTGTCTAAAATCAAGGCTGTGCCAGGGTAAATATGCACTAAGCAGGTATACTTAATTAATAAGCATTTACTAGGCATTTACTATGTGCTAAGCACTGTACTAAGTGGTGGTGATACACATACAGGTATCTGTCTCAGGGATCTCATAGTTCATGTAACATTTGCTTGGCCAATCTAATTTTATAATAATGCCATTAAAACATGACCAAACCCAATAGATAAGTGGTCAAAGGATATAATCAAACACTTATCCAAAGAAGAATTGCAAACTATTAACAATCATATCAAAGAACACTACACATTGATAATAAGAGAAATGCAAATGAAACTAACTCTGAAATTTTACCTCATGCCTATCAAGTTTGCAAAGAAAACAAAAGATAGACGTGTCCAGTGTTGGAGGGGCTATGGAAAGGTAGGCACACAAATGTAATGTTGGTGGAATTATGAATGAGTTCAACCATTTTTGAAAGCAGTTGGAATTGTGCAAATAATGTGACTAAAATGTTGAAACATTTGATTGAGAGATTTCACTGCTAAGTATATGCCCCAAGGAGGTTAGTGACAAAAATAAAGGTACCATATACAGCACAACATGTGTAACAGTACTTTTTTTGTAGTAGAAAAGAATCATAAACAAAGTAGATACCCATTAATTATGAAATGGCTGAACAAGTTGTAGTACATGAATATAATGGCATATCACTGTGTTGTAAGAAATGGCCAATATGATGAATACAGAGAAGCATGGAAAGAGATGTAAGCCAATGTAAATTAAGCAGAACCAGGGAAAGAACCAGGAAAGTAGTATGCACAATGACTATAACAGTATAAATGGAAAAAATAAGAATAAAATAATTGACACTGAATGCTATAAAATGATAGTCAAGCATGGCCCCCAGAGGAGATGTTAGAAGACACTTCCCTCAACTTCTTTATGGAGTTGGGGGATAATGGATGTTTAACACTACATGTAATGTCAAACTTTTTCAAAGAGTTGGTTAATTTTGCTGAATTGTTTTTCCCCCTCTTTTTTATTCTGTGTTATAAGGGATTGATCTCTGAGACAAGGAGCTTGAGAAGGATACTTTGGAAAATGTAGGTTATATGAATTAATTTATTTGTCCCAGAAAATTATAAAACCCAAACCCCAATTTTTTTTAATGTAGGCCAGTTGCCAGAGCTCATTCTTGTTGAACCTCTCCTCCAGCTCCAAGAATGGCTTAACATAGTCTCATAAAATGTCCGCTTTCTTCTTCCTCTCTCCCAACCTAAGGCGGTCTCAGAGACTGCCTAGATAGCTCTAGTTTTTTCCAACTTGGCCCGCCAGCTAAGCTAATCACCAACAGGGGGAGCTCTTTGCTTTATCTAGCCTTGCCCTTACTGCTTAGTCAGCATAATCTTTACTCAGAAAAGTTCTTTGTCCATTGGACTCCCATAGAGTTTTGGTTAGAGATCATTGCTGGGAAGTGCTTGCCTCGTTAGTGCATGGCTCCTTGCACTTAAAGAAAATTTTTATTGATGTTTTCTATTTCTTACATCATCATGTATCCTTCCTCTTCCCACTTCCAGAGCACTGTTCCAGATGACTTTTGGAAAGGGGAAAAAGGGGAAAAAAAAGTCAATACAACTGATCAATATATTGAAAGAGTGAAAACAAATGCAACATGTAACGCTTGTGTACCTTCTACCTCAACAAAAAAAGATACTTGGGGGTATCTTCTCATGTGTCTTCATAATTTTTGATCTTTATAATTTTGTTACATTTGCTTTTGATTTTTTTGGTGTATTGCTCTTTCTATTTATACTATTTTATTTACTGCATATATTGTTTTCTTGACTCTGCTTTCTTTAGTCTGCATCAGTTCATATAGATCTTTCCATGCTTCTCTGTATTCATCATCACACATAATTTCTTACTGCATTCCATTAATGTACCAAATTTATTTAGCTATTGCCCAATAGATGGGCATTTACCTTCTTTTCAATTTTTAGCTATCACAAAAAAAATGCTGCTATAAGTATTTTGAAGTATATAAAGATTTCCTTAGGGTATAAGCTCAGTAATGGAGTGGATTCAAAGGGTATGGACATTTTAGTCACTTTATTTACATAATTTCAAATTGCTTTCCAAAATAATTGTGTCATTTCACAGCTTCACCAACCATGTATAAGCATGAACATCTCTCCACAATCTTCCATTGTTGACTGTTGTAATTTTTTTGGGTCATTTTTGCCAATTTGCAAGGTATGAAATGAAACCTGAGGGTTGTTTTGGTTTACATTTCTCCTATTAGTGATTTGGAGCATTTTTTCCTGCAGTTCCAAATACTTTTTATTTCTTCTTTTGAGAATTATTTATTCATATCCTTTAATCATTTACCTATTTGAGAATGGCTGTTAGTCTTATGCATATATATATATATATATATATATATAATCAATTGTTTCTATGTTTTGGATACCAAACCATTATCAAAGAAATTTGATATGAAGATATTCCCCCCATTTTACCACTTCCCTTCTTCTTCTAGGTGCATTAATGTTGTCTGTGCAGAAGCTTTTCAGTTTTCAGTTCCCTCTTCTACTGTAGACATGGTATTATATTCCTTCAGTTACTTTACCTTAATCTTTTTTTAAGGTGGCCCTGTCCCCACTAGCTCTCTTTCCCTCCCCTCTGAGCCCCTCTTTCTATTTAATATCCTCCCTTTCTATCTTCCCCTTACATTTTTGGTTCCCCTTTCTGAGAAGTATTTCTCTCATTTTCTTCATCTTCTTATCCTGTTTATTCTAGACAGTTGTTTGCTGAGTTATGACCCACATAATTATCTCATCTCTCTCTTCAAGTTCTCCATTCTAGGGTCTCTCCTTTAGTTGCTTTCTGTGACTGCCTTGTAGGGTTTGCCTTGTGGATTCCCCTTTTCCATTGTGCCACACCTCTAGAACAATGACAAATATTGCAAGTGTCAGAAAGGATGCTGCCCATAGAAGGACCCCTCCCTCACTAGTTTTTGATTATGCAGCCCAACTCTGATCTATACTCTCTTTTATTGATCATTTTTTTCTATATTTGCCTGAAAATGTCCTCCCTGTGTGTATGCTCACACACTTCTCCAGATGCCAGTTGTCTCCAAGAGCTGCAACTCCCTCCCTCTCAGAACAAGTAGACTTTTCCAAGCACCAACTCTTTTAGGCTTCATCCAGTGTAAAGTCCTCATTTCCCTTCACTGACCATCTCTCTTCATCCATGGAGTATTCATCACTGGAACCCACCTCACCTCCAAAGAAAGGCCTTCTTCCTTTTTTCTCCCTTTTCAATCTTTCCCCCTCCTCTTCTTCTCTTCCCCTATACCCTCTTCTCTTTCTGAGACCACAGAGGTCATCTTCTTCTCATTTCTAGCCCTTGATTTGACCCTTACAGCCCATCACTCACTCATCTCTAACTCCCTGTTCACCCCTCTCCTTCTTTATGTATCCTTTCATGTTGTAATGTAGTCTCACAAAAGAAGCTTTCACCTGTAGACAGTATGTTGGCAGGTTCTGTTTTTGTCCTCATCTTCATTGGTACCCTGCTCCTTGTACTTTGAATCCTACCTGGCAAGTTCTGGTTTCAGTTTTCTACCTATGTAACTGAATGTCCCCTGAACATTGTTTTACTCAATGTTTTTATGGGGCCAAATAATGAATAGCAGACTGATGTAACATTTTGTCTCTTGGACTATTTATTGCAGCCTGAACCCCAGACATTGCCTCCTATTACATCCTTGTGGTCATCATTGTTATGCTTGGGACCCTGTTTTTGCTCTAGACTCTACTTTATTTCTTTAGCCCCTATAGCTCAACTATATGTCTGTAGATATGTTGTAGGCACAAATATCTTTTTTTCATGTTTTAATTTCTAGAGCTTACCACAGCACTTTTCATAAATTGGTTTTTCACCAAATTTTTATTGAATTGAATGGAACCCTAACCATTCCACATTCTGACTGTTCTAGTTAGTGAAAGACAGGGTGGTATAGTAGAAAGAGCACTGCCCTTGGAGTCATGACAATGCTCTTAATCCTAGCTTTCATACTTACTTACTGTGTGACCATTGGCAGTTTCCTCATCAGTAAAATAGCATGTGCTCAATTTATCTTAAGAGGGGCAGCATGGCATAGTCAATAAAGTGATGGCTTGAGAGCCAGGAAGACATGGGTTCATGACTCATCTCTGAGTGACTCTGGGCAAGTCACAGCCTCACAGAACCATAGGCAATTGTCAAGACCATAAGTTGTAGAGAAGGTGCCAACTGCATTGGTAGAGAGAGTCCCCTTATTCCTTATCTAGGAATTACTGACACCAATAAAAGATTTCACCTATTTCCTATTTCCATCTCCCTATTTCTATCTACCTACCCCTACCTACATGAGACTGTTGGAGGAAAGTTCTTTATAAATTTTAGGTATTATATAAATGTGATCTATTGCTTTCCTTTCTCCTTTTCTTATCTTTCTCCAAAAGCTCTGCCAACTTTAAAAACAACAGAATAATTTGGAATATGTGAGAATATAGCTAATTTGCATCACTTAGTTGACTAAGAAATACTTTTATTCATAGGAGTTGATAATTTAGGGAAAGTACGTCTAGGGGAACAAAGGTAACACTGAGAGAAATCCATATGTGCTTTATGGCAAACAGTCCAGTAATACAGTAACATGTGTTCTCATATTCAGAACAATTTTTCATCTCTACATTATTTTGCCAGTAATTCATGGACACATTTATCTTTCATTTTCACAAGCCACAATAACACCAATATAGCCTTTGGGAGCTAAGTGAAAGCCTTTGACCTTGGGCTTTTGCATAACTCTCAACTCAGCCCCCACACAACACACTTCCTCCCTAGAGCTTAGAAAAACAACTGAACACGTGAACACGACAGCTTTGAAAAGTTCTGAGAGAGTGGTAGCATCTGTTTCAGGCAAATATGAAGATAGACATCTTACTTTTTGTTCTCCTCGGCCTCCAGGCTAAAATTCTAGCAGGTGAGTAGCCCTACTGTGCTTTTCTTATTACTTTATAACCCATAAAGAGATTAAGAACATCATGGCAAGAAAAGCCAAGGACCAGAGGATGGGCTTGGGGAACTGGGAATTGTAAGAGAAGATTTATGTGCCTAACTTTGGGCCTGTCACTGAGGTCAGACTCAGTTTTTGTGCTTCCATTATTTATTACCTGTGATGTTGTCTTCTTTTGCTAAAGAAAATGGCACAGGCTGTTCTATAACATTCTTGTTATCTTCTTGGAGTTACCATTCACTGCCAGGAAGTAGGATTCTACTTTCCTTCTCTCCTAGAGAGATACAAATTAAAATGACTTCCGTCAATAGGATTTAAACTGCTAAGTTACTTAAAATAAATAGCACTCATATTTGGAATGAGAGTTCTTATTTTCTAGGAAAATCAAATAGATGGTCTTTGAAGAGGAGCATTTTGATATTTTCATCTTTCCTGTGGTCTGAGGCTCATAACGCCCAGTTAGCCACAGAATTTTCCTTGGCATTGGGTGATATGAGCTTTCCCTGTAACAGGAACTTACAGGATGAATGGAACAGGCAAGAGGACACTTTTATTTTGGAGGCCCCCCCCATCTTTACACTGGTTATTTATTTTCTTTTAACAACAAAATGTTCATTCAAGGCCCTCATAAAAATACTTACATATTTTGATGATATTTACATAAGGGCTTTTGGTATATATTATTTATAAACTATAAAAAAGGTCCCAAAGTTATTCTCACATGACTCCTTTTTAATAGAGTTGAGATTAAACTGTCCTTGTCTCTAACTCAGAAAAACAGTGGGTGATGCCTTATTTCATGTTATTTTTATTTGCTCTTCAACTCTGTGCCATATTCTTGATGGCTGGGAAGGCATACAACTGAAGTGATACATGAGAAGGAAGTGCTGCTAACTACAGAGCTGAAAGAAGACAATTTGACAGGCTTAATCACATCAGTAAACATATTTTGGAGTGATACAGAGACAAACACTTTAATTTGCCTCCAAATTTTTAAATGACTCTGTCTTGACACAAATGTATGTGCCTGGCACTGTAGTGATACAGGATGAATCGATGGCACTGGAGGAAAAAAAAAAAACCTGATTAAGTGAGGCCCATGAAGTCTTCAGGACACACAGACCTTGTGGTTGTTCTAGGGGATGTATAAAATTCACTTCCAGGCCACCATTGTTACACATTTGCCTGTGCTTTCCCTATAAATGAAAATCTATGATTAGTTAGAAGGAATGGAGTCTGGATAGCATTCATTTATTTAAGAGATGTTTATTCAGGGCATGCTATATGCAAGACATTATGCTTGGTAATGAGGGAGATATAAAAATGAATAAGACATGACCTCAGGATGCTTATATTTGAATAGGATTATTGATTTTTCTTTGTACTCCCAAAGTGTGTTGTTTTGAGGAACAGTCAAATAACATCAAAGGGCACTACAACATCAATCTGAGTGTGTCAATTAGATTCCAAGTTGCTTTTGGTAATATTAACTTTTTTTCACAACTCTGTGATATAAGTGCCGTTATTATTCCCATTTTTACAGAAGAGGAAATTTAGACTAGATATTTGTGCTTTATGTGCTTTAGATACTAAGGTATCTAAATACCTTAGATGAGGTATTTCAAGTCAGCAAAGTGATTTTTTAAAGTCTGGATAGTAATTTAATCTTTCTAGAGTACAATTAATCTCGCGTCATTTTGACATTTATTCGCTGAATTTCATAGTAGAAATAGCACCAGGGACACATCTTATTTTCATTCGATGGTTAAAGAAACTGAAGCACCAGTGACTAAGGACACATAACTATAACAATAATGATAATGATGATCATATGAAAAAAACTCTGCCAAATTCTATAGATTAGCACAGTAGCTGTGATTCAAGGATCTCAAAGCAGAAGCAGAATGCAAGCAGTGTTGTAGAATTTAGAGTTCTAGAGGGAGGGGGCTATTTCAGTTTGTCTTTGTGTCCGAAGTACCTATTACAGTGGCTGGCACTTAGTAGATGCTTAATAAATATTTCTTAAATTGAAGGCAGGGCAGGAATAGAAGGAAAGAGAGTTTAGGGCTTGTAACTCCCATGTGATTTCCCAGACGTGTTCTGAAATTCATGTGAAAATTGCAAATAGATCATGATAATGTGGATAAGTAGTAGAGGTTGATCAATGAGGGAATTTTTTATTTATTCTAGTTCTCCTTGAGTCTCCAATAAAAAGTTTAACTGAGTCTAAGTTTTATTAATTATGGTGGTTATTATCTATTGTGCATAGAACAGCAAGAAGTAGCTAGGTAGCATACATGCTGAGCTCAGAATCAGGCTGACCTGAGTTCAAATCTCACCTGAGATACTTACTATTTATGTGACCCTGGGCAACTCACTTAACCTTTATATCCTTCAGTTTTCTCAACTGTAAAATGAGGATTAGAATAGCACTGGCCATACAGGTTTGTTTTGAGGATCAAATGAGATATTTGGGAAGTGCTTAGCACAGCATTTAGCACATAGTAGGTGGTTAATTCTATATAAAGCAGCTTTGACTAAGTAGGTAATTTCTAGTTTTTAACTGCATTTAAAGGCTACTAGTAATCTAATCTTTCCTAGCTTCATCATTCATTTGACAAACATTTATACAGCAACTCTTTTATTTTTGTTATTGTGTTTCTAGCACAATGATTGGTACATAGTAGATACTTAATAAAGGCTTATTGATTAATTGATGAAACTGCTTTGTATAAAACACTGTGTTATTCCTTCCTCTGCCAGAAAGCATTAGGAACGTTTATTGAAGCAATGTAAACAATGTAAATATATGTATATGTATATGTGTATATATGTATACATATATGTGTATATATCTATATGCATATGTATATATCTATACACACACAGTGTGTATATTATATATATATACATTGTATATATATATACACATTATGTGTGTGTATATGTGTGTGTATACACACACACATACACACATATATATATACACATATATATATACACATTATATACAGTGGCTGGAACATGGGCTATTCATAGGTCCTATCCCACTACTGATCAACAGAGAAGCTTTAATATACTTCATTTCTGACCTGGTCCTATGATTCTTAGGCAACCTAGTGTCCAATCCTGTCCCCCTTCCCCCACCTCACAGGAATTAGTACAAATATCTTATCAGCTTATCTCTACTGCAGCTCAGAAACCCCAAGTTCATGAAATCCTTCTGTTTCAATATTCCCAGCAGCTAGGATTATAGGCATGTACCACCATGGTCAGCAAATTTTACAATATTTAAAGAACCTTCGTGTTCTTCATAGCCTGGGCAAAGGTCAAGAATGGTCTAAATATATCCATATTTACCAAGGATGAAACGGAAGTTCCTCGAGGTTAAGTGTTGTGGCCAGAGTAAGATACCCATGTGGCTTGTCAGTGGCAGATCAGAGATTAGAATTCAGATTTTATGGCTCTTAATCCACTGTCCTTTTCACTCTACACACAAGTTCTTAGACTTCATGCTTTTCTTACCCATAAGGAGAAAAGTATTTCCTTTCTTCCTGACACTGAGTTAAGAACCCAGAAGTTATCCCACAAAAATAGCATCTTTCTATGCTGCAAGTGACTTGTATACTAAATTTTCCCCATTCTTTTAAGTTCTAACTGCCTGTAATATATCTCAGCTCAGCATGTGTACAGCTCACCCAACTGTTCCACTTAATGTATCATCTGCCATGGCACGCTATCCCCAATAACAGCTTCTTGAGTCAGAAGCTGTCTGGCAGTTTCGTTAATGAGTCGAAGTACAGAACACCTTTTGTTCTTTCCTGGTCTAGTAAGCACCCATGGGGCTGGCTGAAAGTAAAAATATGTCTTTGTCTACAAATGAAATGGGGTTTAAATTGTGCAAGGGTTTCCCACCCTCATATTACAAGCCAAACATGTCTATCTCATCTTGGGGAAAATACACATGTGTGCACGCGCGCGCACACACACACACACACACACACACACACACACACACACATGAGTTGGGTGTTCTTTGTTCCTAAAACATGCTCCTAAAGTAAAGGCTATTAATATACATGTTAGCATTATTAACACACTTCACTTTTTCGGTGAGTACTCATGAAAACATTACTTAGTACAAGATTTAACAATAATAATGAAGATAATGATAAGAGTTAGCATTTATATAATGCTTTAAGATTTTCAAATGCTTTGCAAATATTATCTCATTTTATCCCCATAACAACTCTGTGACATAAGTGCCATTATTATTCCCATTTTTACAGAAGAGGAAATTTAGGCATATGGAGATTAAATGACTTACTAGGGGTACATAGCTAATAAATATTTGACTTTGAACTCAATTCTTTCTGTCTCCAGCACTTCATCTACTGTACCACTTAGTTGCCATTTTGTAAGATTTTATATAGGTATTTTGTATACATATTATAAGAGAAAAACCCAAGGTAGCGATAACAACTCAAAGAACTCAAATGTGTGTAGTTCTTTTCTCACAATACCCATATGATATGGTTAGTGCACATATTATTCCCATTTAATGAATGAGGAAACAGGCTCTGAAAGGTAAAGTCAGTTGTCCATAGGCACATAGTTGGTTAGCAATGCATTTGGGACTATAATTTAGGTTCTCTGACAAGTTCAGTGTTCTATCTACTTTTATCACATTGATTCTCTGGATATTGGCCCATTGCAACTTCCTCTCCCTTCCATGTTAAACAAGATGAGCACTTGTATTTATTCAATGATTATTTATTGAATACCAACTATCAGCCCTATACTATGCCAGGTACAGGGAGGGATACAAAAAAAATGTGATACAGTCACTGATTTCTAGGAGATCAATCATTGGTTGAGGCATTGATCTTCAATATGGTTGAAGGACTCATATATGAAACAACTAAGTAGCAATACAAAATAATATATAATGATGGATCAGTCAAATG